AAATAAATCGGAAACAAAGGAGTACATATTAAATCTAGTTTGGACTCTTCAAACAAGTTTATGATCAAATTCTTTTTCTCCGACAGCTTGAGACTTTTCACAATTTGAACACCAAGTGGTAGTTTGTGCAACAGAAAATCATTGAACTTTTTGTCAAGTAGAAGTTGTTGCAAAAGTGTATTTATGCCAATGAAAGTGAGTACACATTAATAGTCTTTTCGTTTGACGTTGACTTATTTCATTCTCCTTGTTGCATCAATTTTTGTTGATCTATCTAATTTACCAATTAAAAAAGATTGTAATTGGATAATTAAACAATTTTCAAAATCATCCATGTTTTAAAAAGACAGAGAATAAAAACATACAAAATCTATAGTTTCAAAATTTGAGGGAACTCCTCTATTTATAGCCAAGAAAGAATAGTATGAAAAGTTGTTCATCGTGCCTTATTAGATAAGTCACAACCATTTGAAACTTCACAACCATTTGAATATATCACAAATCACCAAAAAAATTCAAATTCTTTTAAAAAGTCACAATCCTTCGGAGAAGTCACTACCTGTCAATGTGAAAAGGTGTCATATTTTAACATATAATATAAAAAAAATAAAAAAATAGAAGATATATTAAATTGTGTGTTTTATGTTGAGGGTATTGTATTAATTTAATACAAGTTAGAGAATTCATGTTTTTAAGATAGTATAGATAGATATATATTATTGAAAGTAATGAGAAAATTATTATCGATGTAAGTCAGCAAAAAGTTAATGTTAAACGAAGTATATCAAAAAGATTGGGAACATTGCATAGCATATTATTTGGTAAAGCATAGGCTTTCTTTTATGCAGGACTAGTTCCACTTCACTTTTATTCCCCCATTCACCTAAAAGTTTTGTCGTTCCTCGTGTCAAGATAAACTAAACAGTCAAGCTCTCAAGTGTGTTTTCTAATTATTCTTGAACTTAGAAGGGATATTGTTACCACTCACTTGATCTTCATCGATATCCTTAGTCAGCCAATGACACTTTTCAGAACTCAATCTTATCTTGCAACTTCCTGTGACCGTCTTGACTTCTATATTTTTTACTTGACCACCAGTAAAGCTATTAGTAGTACAAGTACCTCTCTTGCATTTCTGCCACTGTGCCACCGCTTGACTCACTTTGTTTTATGTCCATATTCACCTCTATACTCCCTTGGTCCATATATTATATTTTAGAAACACTTATTTTGTTATAACTTGAAACCTGAGAAAGACAACCTAGATCCTCATGATCGAAGTGTGTAGTTTATGATTATTCTAGAGTTTAAAAGGAATATTGTTATTACTCGCTCAATCTTTTGTCGATACCCTTGGTCAGTCAGTGCCATATTTCACATAACAGTCTTATCCTCAATCTATTTCAAACCATCTTGACATCTTAGTTATTTTATTTGTACCAGCAATGTAGTCCTTATAAGTACCTCATTACGTTTCCTCCCACAGCATCATCACTTTTGACTTATTACGCCACTGTTCACACCAGGGTTATATCATCCATACCCTGCAACAGATCCTTAGCAGGTTCCGAATTTGTCTCCCCAAACAGCCCTCTAGTGACCGTTCATAAAGGTATTTGTTCTTCTCATAATCATCACCATAAATATACCTGTTTGAGTGATCATTGTTTATCATAAGCATATTATGCTTTCGTGTCAATCTTGTCTTATTCATTTTCTTGAATCTACAGGAGTAGCTCTTTCCAATCAGGCTAATAACAAGCTACGATGACAAATGTCTGTTTTACATTCTATTGATACTTGGGCAATTAATCTTATGCCTCCACGGAAAATATGTTCTTGTTGGTCACAGTGAAAGTTGGAATAGAGATCAAATTGATCAGCTCGAGGCATGTTCCTTGTGATTTGTGAAGGCCATTAATAAGATCTTCTCACTTGATTATGTGATACATTCTATCCCATGGTAAAAATTGCTTCCTTAAAGCTTCTTTTTGTCCATGGATGCTGTTCATCATTGAATTCTTCACGAGTTGATATCAAGAACACATTTATTTGCAAGCATATTGATAATGAAACACATGAAGCAACACCATGTTCTTTAACTCAGGGATGTTTAGTAGTCTTGTATGTTGTTTAAGGTTGATTTCTATATGGTCTGAAGTAGTCTTCTAAGGCATGGTTTGGTAAGTTTAGCATGGTTATTTAAGAGTTTGAAATGATTGAAAGTTGATGACTGCCTGTTTGGACAATATCTGGTTGAAGTTGAATAATATCTCCTCAACAATTCTAAACCGAGGCAGAGTAATATTTTCCAGGCTTTAGGTCGCCAAGTCTCATTTAGATATTGTTATCTCACAATGTTAGTATGCTCTTGACATTCCTGGAGAGACATAAATGTGCACTTAGTGGACTCATTTACACACTTACAAATTTTAATGTTAAAGGTAATGGTTAGGGGGACACATTTAATGATGCTAGGTAATTAAAGAAGTTGGTTCAAAAGTTGAACTATCTCCCAGTTACTCCACATGATAGTCTATTCGGTGGTCTTTTGGACGTACCTCATATGGATTAAGCAACCACTCAAAGAATTCAGACTGAAATGATTAACCAAATGCATTTAAAACTAGTAATGATATTAACTTGAACTTCAAAGTGTATCTTATATAGTATTGAATGAGAAACAGACATAAAAATTTATTAACACTTTGATAGAGATAAATATATTTAAGATGACAATCTCATGAAGTGAAAAAAAGTCAAATGATTAGCTTACTGATATATTTATCAGATCTCTCACCAATTTAAGAATTATTTATGTACAACCACCTTCGTATATACAAGTACAACTAGAGGATTCGATAGAAGAAAATGGTTTATTGTAACAACTTATACTTGATGTAATATAGTATTAGGCCTTGTTTGTTTTCATTAAGACCAAAACACCTAAATCTGAATGCACATATAAATGAATAAGATGTCTCCCACACTAAATGATTAAGACAATTTGTTTTTCAACATCTCAATGTGCATAATTCATATATTAGCAACATGATAAATATACAATTCAAATAAAAAATCAATTAAAAATTAGAAAGAAAGTAATTTCTAAAATATAAAATCATTATTTGATTAAAAATGAAATATTTATGTTTGCTCGTGATGGTAGAGAGGGGTTGTAGTAGTGGTGATGGTAATGATTGGTGTTGGTAGCTAGTAATAGTGGTCATGGTGGAGTTGGTGTTGTAGTGACTGGCATGTTGGTGACATAACGGGTGATAGTGGTCATGGTCATGGTGGTTGTGATGATGAAGTTGGTTGGTGTAAGCAGTAGACAGTGTTGATGGTGGTGGACTGAAGAATGTGTGCATGTTTGGTGGTTGATGGCGATTCGAATTGTGATGATAGAAATAATTGGTAGTAGAAATTGACCGCAGTGTCCTTATAAGAAGATCAAGGACTAGGAGCATATTTTTTTTGCTCATCTGGATGTAAATATGGGGGACTGCACACCCATCGTGTAGGTTGTTATTAATACTCAAAAATGTTACCAGTTCAAAAAAAAAAGAAACGGGCCGTAGTGGTGAAGGCGGAGGTCGCGGTGGCGAAAATGGATAAAATTATTGATGGAGGTGTGGTAGCGATTATCAATTGTCATTGGCAGCAGTGGTGGCAGTTGGTGGTTAGTGACGGTATAGTGATTAACAATGGTGGTGGTAGTTGTGATGACAAAGGTGGTTAGTTGCGGTGGCTGATGATTGTGGAAAGAGTGGTGGCGAAAAATTATCTACACAAAAATACCTCTTAATGATATTAAGACTTGTTCAAGATCTTAATAATAAAGACCTATTCTGACCAAATTAGTGCTTAAATCTTAATGTAAACAAATTCACTTAATAATCTAACGTTTAAAACATTCGGATTCAGACCTCCATTAAGTAAAAGCAAAAGATACGTGTCTCACATTGGATAGAGGTATCATGTATACTGTGAAGTGTGTGTAAAATGGATATGTGCACTCTCTCAATATTCTCCCGTCTCTAATTTTCTTATAAGAAAAGGACCAACTGAAAATGGATGAAATAGTTAACAAAAGGGAAAGATGCAAAATACAGAAGACATCAAAACAAACGAAAATCATACCTTATAACTTTCAGGCCTGTCACTTGCTTGGCAACAGACGGTAATTAAGTACAAGATCTTCAGGTTTCTTCCATATATAGGCCCGTACAGTTGCTAAGCTCATTTCAGGGGATAAAACCTGGTAAAGAAATAAAATTTCATTTAACCAGAAAGCACTGTGGGCATAACCTGGAACATATCCCCACTTGGGCAATTGTATTTGAAGGCAGCATATACAAAGATTGATGTGGCAAAGCCAATAATTTTTATTATTTTTTTGGAGAATCCGTAATGATGTACCATGATATATTGCTAAAAGTTCAAATATAAGAAGCTACGATCTAGAGTATAAAAATGAAGAAGCAAACTACAACAGTGCATGATATTAAAATCTTAATATGTGAAGCATCTCAAACCTAGAAACAGAAACCTGAACTTGCCTGGTTATTGCACAGGATCTCTATAGATGGCTTATGCTTTTGCGAAGGCTTCGGCCCAATCCGGGATGAGTCATCCACTCCAGTAGTTCCATGTAAACCAGGAGCAAAAGTCCCATCCGAGTTTACGCTATCCAAAGGCTTGTCAAGAACCAACTTTTCCACGACATAATTGATAACCTGGAGAACAAAATCAATACCACTTGGAAACATTCATTGTTTATCCTCGGTAAGTGTTAATTAATTACCAGAAAGAACTTCTGGGTGATTATAGTATCAAAGAAAGCTGAACCTATGAAACTTTTGGAGCTCTTTCGACTTGAGCAAACATAACTCGCTTTCTTTCCTTTTGAGCCCAAAATTTGGAAGTAGTATCTGCATCTCACCAAATGGTCAATGAATACTAACTTGATTCAAGGATTGCACCTCTCTCTATCTCTCTTTGTCCAATTGTGTGAGCATTTTATATAGTGGAGGTATAATGTCAATAATGGGTGGTCATCTTCCGTCACTTTTACAATTTTGAATTGGCAATGAACGTTACTTGAATATAGTTCTATTTTCATTTTTCCAATAATGGTGGTGTTCATACCAACAAGGGTTAAACAGAGATGAATAAATGACACAGTGTTTTTGTCAATAATGGGATTTGAACTTTGGTCTCCCAGATTTGCACAAACTTCTATTTTATCATTTCTTTGTTCTGAATCAAAAATAGAACAGTTGAGTAAATCTAAACCACTTCATTGACCACTGGGTCACATCCTTGTATGCTATTATAATCCATTCTTTAATATCATTTTCTGTCCTCATGGTATGAACCTAGACGAGATGTTAGATTTGTTATCCATTTGAAAACTATAAATGGAGATATGGCTAGTGACTGTAAAATGACTTTTGTTTGGGTAATGTGAATTTTTTAATGAAATAATAACATTAAAGAAAGGATCCCTTGGACAAATTATTTATGTGGTGCATAAAATAAATCAAACTTACAAAGTTACAACAACAACATACCAAGTATTTTTTGGAGAAGGTAGAATGTATGAAAACCTTAGTAATACCTCGGGGAGGTAGAGAGGTTGTTTCCAAAGACCCTAGGCTCAAGTGCAACAAATCCGGGTACATAGAAGACAGAGACAAAGACGAAAATAAGCTGAACCAAAAAAAATACTAATAATATTTCCAACTCCTAAAGTTCTTTATCACTCTCCTTATCTTATTAACACTATGCTCCTTCCCCTGGGAACCAACAATCTTCTTCTTCATTGCAATTTTTTTCTTTTCCTGCATAGTTTGGGAGTCACATGGGTGATGCCTCAAGATGTGAGAAGTTACTAATTTGCTGGCAAGGACAGAGGATCCGGAAAAGGAAGAAGCAACTCTGGTAAAGTATCCCATTGATTATTATGCATGATGTAGTTATAGTTTGAATGAAAGAATAGGTGTGTTGAAGGAAAGATACAACCTCCACCTTTTGTAAAGTCTAGAGGCCTTCAATTTGTTTATACATGGTATAGGAGGAATACGCTGGACTATCCAACTTCTCTTTGGACTTTTGGAAGCTTTTGATGTTACAAGTTTTGAGATGATCCGAACTTCTCTTTTATACCACTGTAATACGTTTTTGGTGTTGTAATTAAAATACCTTGGTTATCACTCCTTAGTTATCTAATAGTTAATTGCAGTAATTTCTCATCAGTGGTAGAAGTTATTTTCTTGTAATAATGCAGTTATTTTCCTGTAATAGTGCAGTCTTGTAATTACATTTAAGTTAGGAAGTCATGTCCTAGTTTCTAGGGATAGTTATTTTATAAGTATTGTATTTAAACTATCTCGTGACTGAGAAAATATAAGCAGAAAATTATTCAAGTTTTTGAGTACTTCAAACTCAAGAGATCGCAGTTTCTCTTTTAACGAACCAGCACCATAAGTCGTAGGAAGAAAACATCATATTTAATATTACAGCGCCCCATAACAAGATTTATAACTGGGGACCATAACAACTTGGTTCAGAGCCGGATGTTATGGGAGATCAAATTCAACATCAACTGCTCAATTGGTGAACTTATTAGAACAAGAACATGCAACCAACATAGCGAGACACGAAGCAATAAATGCTCTCTTAGATACACTCAGAAAAGATCTAGCGAATTCGAAGGTTGATTCTGAATCAACAAATCACACCAATCAGAATCGGAGCTTGAAGGATAAAAGTGGAGTGGCAGAAGGGTCAAAACCAAATGCACGAGGAAGTTCTTTTATTCCTAGGTATACAACGTTGAATTTTCCAAGGTTTAATGGCCAAGGGGACCCTTTGTGATGGCTGAACAGATGTGATCACTTTTTTCTACACCAACAGACTCCAGATGAAGAAAAAGTTAGTCTTGCTTCTTTTCATTTGGAGGGGAATGCACAACTTTGGTTTCTTCAACTAGAGACTACCTGAACTGTCTTGGGATGAATTCAAACGTTATTGAAACCTTCGTTTTGGGCCACCAGTCAGAAGTCAGAAGTAAGGAGAATTGGCTAAGTTGTGCCAGATTGGGTCCGTCATCCGTGGAAAATTAGCAAGAAAAGCAATTAATTCCGTGGGCTAGTATAGTCACACAGTCACAAAGAATTGAACTTTATATCAGTGGTCTTGTTGTTATAACAGAAATAAGTATTTCCTACTTAAAATAGGAATAGGAATAAGAATAGGATTCCTAGTTGGAAAAGGATTCTAATGTAGTGTCTATAAATAGAGTCTCAATGTAACAATTTCGATACACAATTCAATAATATTTTCTCCAATATTTCTCACATGGTATCAGAGCATTGTAAGAAAAATAAAATAAAATAAATTTTTTAAAAAAATACAATGTGCAGTTTTTCCGGTAACCTAGTTGTTGTCCGGATAATTAATATTTTCTGTCAATGTTTTCAAAAAATATTTTCCGTCACTGGTAATTAATCACTTTTGTCTGATAGTTTTTATTCACAATCTCTTCCAGCTATTACTTTAGCTAATGGGATCCAAACAAAATTAAAAGGGGTTGGAAAAGTTAAACCCGTATCTTCTGTCACCCTAAACTCTGTTTTATGTCCCTGCATTTCCTTTTAATCTAGCATTGATTAATCGTTTGACGAAAGCCATACGTTGTAGCATAACCTCTTTTGATGATTATTTCTCATGCAGGACCGCAGTACGGGACAGACGATTGGAACAGGATATGAATCACAAGGCCTTTACTATCTTACATCTTCTAATTCCTTAACAACATGCTCCATTACAGATTCCTCATATCTAATTCACAAACTTTTGGGACATCCAAGTCTATCCAAACTGCAAGAGATGGTACCTAGTTTGTCTAGTTTATCCACATTAGATTGTGCGTCGTTTTAACTTGGGAAACACACTCGTGCTACATTTTCATGTAGTACTAGTTCATTTAGAGTCTATTTTTTCATTAATTCTTTCTAATATTTGGGGTCGTAGTATAGTCAGTTCCACCTTAGAATTTCATAATTTTGTTAGTTTCATTGATAATTATTCGAGATGCACTTGGGTTTTCTTAATAAAAGATCGTTCTGAGTTATTTTCTATATTCAAAGGTTTTTTTTGCTAAAATACAAAATCAGTTTGGTGTTTCTATTCGTACTTCCATAGTGATAATGCCTTGGAATACTTTTTTTAGAAGGTAACAGTCTTGTATTATAATCCAAAAAATCAAACCTGCCACAACTTGTTACAGGTTTATTAATTATAAATGAGTATTAGGAAGATCTTCAATCCTAAATAAACAAAAATTACAAGGTGGTGCCCAAAGCATTCATTACTGATTGTAGATTGTCCATATACTCCTGTTTACACCATAAATGAAATAAAACCAAGCAATTCATCTTCATGTTCTTGATGTTGTTACTTTTGTTTTGGAAGCATTTGAGGTTCCTCTCTTTCCATATAGACCACCAGATACAAGGGGGCTGATTTCCATCTTTCTTTGTGACCAGAAATATAGACGAAGCTACTCCATATCTTCAGGGCCTGAACAATATTTTTTGGCATCACCCAAAGTAGGTCCTTCAAATTGATGAAAATGCTCCACAAAATATTAGTGGTCCTATAGTGAAGAAAGAGCTGGTTGACTATTTCAGCCTCTTCTCCACACAGGAAACACCTAGGACTCAGTTGGATACCCCTTTTCATGAGGTTCTCCTGAGTCAAGTAGGCAATTGGAGGGAGTCTTGGTGTGTCTTAATATGAAATGTATGAATGGATCATTATGTGAAGTAAATGAAATTGTGACTTAATGTCTGAAGTTAAATAAGCATTTTAAAGTTATGCCTTGTATGATAAAGTTTATGAATGATGAATGTGGTCTGCTTAATCTAAGGGAACCCTCAAAGAGCACTTGGTGGAGGTAGTAGTATGGGATACTACTTTCACATTGAACTTGTGTAATTTGGGAGTTGCCTTGGAGAAGGGCAGTTATGTGAAGTCCTTAAATGTAAGCATGTTTCTCTAGTGTCTTTGTTATAGAATGTGGACTTGTTACCCGTGCGAAGTAAGCTTATGATCGGTAGTCTTGAGGATCACTTAGGTGTGCATTGAAGGGATTGTATAGGCAATTCCTTCATGTCTTACCTTAGTGAGCCTTAGGATATCTTGGTTAGGGAAACTTCTAGGGAAATGAGTTTACTATGAGTTGATATGAAATGGGTTCTATTCTAAATTTATGGAAGTTTTACTTTCTATGTCAAATGATGATTCATCTGTTTTACTACTATATTCATGAACTTTTTACCAAATTCGCATGAGAGCTTTATTTCTACTAAAATGTCCTCTTTTACATGTGTTTTTGCATAATGTCATACTTAGTACAATGTTTGTACTAACCCCATACTTTTCTATACTCTATAAGTATAGGTTGGAAGCAAGTGGAAGTTTAGAAGGCAAAGCTTCTCAAGACTCGTTATGTCCTCATATATTTGAGGGCATAGTCTATATTTCTTTAGTTTCTTTTACTAAGACTTGTATAAGACTTATTGTGTATTTTCTTTCAATGTAAAAGGTCGTGTCCCTAAGATATTTAAGATGTGCGTTTAAGTTGGCTTGTGACAACGAAACGTACTCCTTAGTATTTTATAAAAGATATTTCCTTACTATTATAATTGTTGTGAAAGTTTTAAATCTGCACTACTTTTCATATCTTATGTAATGAACGATAGTTATGAGGCTTGTACAAGACCCCGAAGGATCAAGTACGCCTTGTGACGACTCAAGAATCTCCCTTCTTCTAAGGTGTACTTGCGGGTCGTGACAAGAAGAATGTCCGTTCTTATGGGAATAGACAAGATTAGAAATAATCACATCAAACAGATGGTATCTCATAGAGGATAATTGAAAGAACCTAGTATGGATTAATCTTTCCTACATAGACATCATACGCAAAGCTCCATAGTTGCAAGATTACGACAACTGAAGGTGCTAAAATAGGATGAGGTACACTTATAATCACTTGGAGAGAAATTGCCACAAAAAAATTTATCTAAATTGGAACAAACGTACACTTAGCAAAAAAAGAACATAACTAAAGCAAAGAATCTATATGAGCAAATATCAACTAACAAGAGTTAAAGCTTATGTGATTTTCACTTACACTGGTGTTTACCAAGATTCTATTATTTCTGCTTAAATACTTGTACATTAGTCTAGGAACAAGAGTACCATTTCGGGTACCTCTAGACTTAGAGGACTCCAAGTTATCTTAAAAACATATATCATCAAGTACTGGAAAGAAAAGTCACAGTAAAGCAGAATAGATGCAAAGGATTCATATAGCTTGGGCATGAGATATAAGTGACACTCCCTCCATCCTAATTTATGTGGGGCAAAATGTTTGACGGGGTATGGATTTTAAGAAGAAAAAGATTTTTGAAACTCGTTCTAAAACAAGCCATAAACATTTGACTGACTTCAGAATACGTAACTATCCAAGCAGAAATAAAAAACCACTTCATGTATCCATTTGATGACACTCCCCCAGTTTGGACATATTAACCATGTTCCTGAAGATTAGCTATATCTTGGCAGCCGCCTGATAGTATCAGGATAATTTACACATCATACTTTAAGTTTTAGCAAGTTATGGTACCATAAGAACAACACATTCACATAGATAGGCAATCCTTAGTTAACTGACCGAAGAATCATGGCCTTTGCAGCAGTCTTTTTCAGCTTTTCATTTCGCTATCTGATGCATCGTCAATATTAAATCTCCGAAGACTACTGAGACTATTAGGGTTTTACTTGACATAAAACTAGAGCAACATGGAATCTACATCTCGAGGGATAACCATGGTACAGGTCTAGTACCCAATTAAAATTGAAAAATCCGATTAGGTAACTAGGAGCATAATTTATAGTGATTTCCTTATGATATTTATATTTTGAGTTTTTTCTCGCAAATTATATGTGGTGTTCCAATAGGAGGTGTCCAGGAAAAGGAGAAGTGTAAGTCTCCCACTAGTATGGACTATTAAACAAAGAGTAATTATTAGCCACAAGGACCCTTTATCATCAGGACAATTAAATTGATTCTGCATTACTATCAAACTAAAGATACTTACTTTGTGAATTCTTAATATGCGAGGTGCACTCAGTTTGCCTTGGGTAAGGATCTGGACAGTAGAACCCTCACATGGATGAAAATAAAAGCTACATCTGCAAACCATATTATAAGAAAGGGGTTATATCAAAAAGTAATTTATCACAGCCAGAGGGAACACATAAATAGTTATGCTTTTTAAGCATACTTGGCCCAAAAAAATGGAAGAAAATACCGAAATTAGCAACAGATTGCTTCTTCAAAAGTGAGATTGCAACTGCCTAGACTTTATTTAAAACTTAACAACTATATAATTAAAATATGCAATTCAACGATTGTCAAGAAAACAAATATGCAGCTTTGAAGATTTACTTGGTATTTTCCCTGGGAGGCAGACGATTGTTCATCACACAGTCTATAACCCACCAAGGCATGTCCTTCTCATCTTCAGTTCCATCTAAGTCAGTGATCTTTTTCCTCCAAGAGCCACTTTGAGAGCCCTCAGTCATGATGGATGGAGGAGATGCTGAAGAAAATTCAAAGGGATGGAACACCGCAGAATCATTATCAGTGTTGCCGTCTACTTCCACTCTTGAAGTAGTCAAAATCCTTGTAGATACATCTTTTCCAGATGGAACTTCTCCAATGATTGATGATTGAGATCCAAATTTCTGCCTTCTTTCGATTAACCAATGGACCAACAGCCCTTTAAGTGTTTCTCGTGCCAAATTGACCTATAATTTGAACGCACCAGCGAACAAAAAAATCCATCCTCTGTTAAGGTGAATAAATTAAACTTTATTGATATAACTGATAAATCTTAACATTGGTTCAAACACTTATCCATTCCACTTGTAATACAACATGTAAAGCACAGGAAGTGTAGGGGCTCGCACTCACCAGTTCAGTTTTTCGATTTTTCAGTTTGGATAAGTACAAACCAAAACTGTCTTTTCAAGTTTCAGATCAGTTAAAATTTGTTTGGTTGTTCAATTTAAGGTTTCAGTTGGGCTTTTCCAGGTTGTACTTTTCTACAAAAAGAAAGGGCTGAAAGCATATTCTTTTCAGTTTTTACTTGCGACTAAAGGCCTAAACTTGGCTTTCTGACCTTTTTATCAGAAAACGGGCTTAAAATGATACCTCAACTAGTAAAAAAGAAGTTACTATATAGCTTTTTCTTCATTTACTTATTTTTATTTGGTCTACATACGATGAAAGTAGCACTTCATTAAGGAGGACGAAACTAAACTTTAGCAAAAATTGATAAACGCAGAGTCCCTCATTTTGCGATTGTTAGCTACTTGGTTCAAGCCTCACAGAACCCTTTGACCCATTATTCTACTTCTCCTAACAGAGCTATGGCTTTGCAGCAGAAATGACGACTCAGTTTCTCATGCTTTCTTTACTCAGTGTCCTAAATTGCTCCTACTTCTACATTTGGAAACAATTCAATTTAAAGTTCCCGTTTTACTCTTAATAAGAAGCGTTTAACACCACACAAATGTAATGGAATAATACCACATGTTACTTAAGTTTTACAGTCACACAAATATTATAGTATCTTTAAGACTAAGATCTCAACTTTCAAAAATCTACTTTTCTTTTTTAGAATTTATGTCCAGTCAAATAGGTTCACATAAATTGGAACAAAGGCATAAACGCCGACTATCCTTTTGTCAAACGACATGAAATTAGACCAAGAAGAATCTTTAATTTGATGCGGACTAATTGATCAAGAGGAGTGAAATGATGTATCCGTCCCTATTGGACCTTCATCTTTCCCAGTCCTTAATAAACAAATTTAATGAAAAAAGAGCTAGATGAGCCTAAATCAGGTAATAAAATGGAGCAAGGTTATCGAATGAAATGTGGAGATGGGACCTGGAACCATACGGTGAACTGTAAGCAAAAGGTTCATAGCAGGAAATACCTTGTCATCTTCAGTTTTCCCAGGGATATTGAGATCGGCAGAGTACATCTCAGCAGAAAAGCATTGTGGATTATTCAAATGTACAGACAAGCATCCGAGCCTAGTGTCCACAGTAAACCATGCAGGGATGCTTACCTGAACAAGCAAAAGGTATCAGAAAAAACTCATTGAAAAGAAGGAGAATTGCTACAATGGTTCTACTTCCTTACCATCTCAAATAATTCTTCTTTTTTCTTGTCAAATGAAACCTACACCAAAAATAATCAGGTAAAAAAAACATGGTAAAAATACACATTATAAAGTAGGCCACAAAAGAAAATAAAATTTTAAAAGAAGAAGAGGAATATCATCATCATTTCAGAAAAATAAGAATGTATCCTCCACACATGCCATTGTTGCTAAAATGATCTCAAAACATTTCATTCTAACCTCTCCGTAATTTTGAGTTACAGTCCCTCTTGTGACCTCCTACAACTCAACTGTATCAGCAGTATCCTTTCAAAGGAACAATCCAATATCAGTTTATAAAATCATACTTCTCTGAATATAATAGAACCTCATTAAGAATAGTACGCCATTAGCCACACAATTTAATGCAAAAGTATCATTTTACCTTGGTTAGGACATGTCTTCTGTTGTTTAAAATTTCACGCTGCACAATTCCTGGAGTTCCGTAAATGCTAAAGGAAGGTTCTTTAAAGATAGGTACCTGCAAAAATATCCAATTCTCAACTTTCTAAAGATTAATTTATTATCTTTAGAAAGGAAGAATGGCTAATAATGATGGAGCACACATTGAAAATGAATAGTCAACTTCTAATCTGACTACAAACTTCTGATCTGCATAAGAAAAGAGCAATTGCATGTATTATGCACCATGTATCTATCAATAATCATAATCATAATAATCTAATACAAAGCAAAAGCTGTGGACGCAAAAAATGGACACGTGGCCACAAATCTGCCCCTTTATGTTGATGAAAATCAGCCAAAGTTTCACCGTCTCCTTACAGTGTAAGAATAAATTATTTATTGTCTCTGCCTCACATTCACAAAAAAAGCATCTGGAGCACAACTGGAGGCCCCTCTTCATACGGTTATCCTGAATGAGAACAGATTGTTTTGCTAAAAGCCAAGTAAAATTGGCCACATTGAAGAGCACCTTAACTTTCCAGATCATTTTCCTTGGACCAGTAGCTTGGTTGAGTGTGTCCCCGCAGTGAATTTTTGCAAGCTGGTCAAAGAAGGGGAGCCAAGGAGTGAATCAAAAAGTAGGGGGAGGAAACTAATCACCCACTTATAAGGAAGATCAATATCCTATCATGGAATGTGATGGGGCTTAACATGGAGGACAATAGAAATTGGTGAGAAGCAGATTACAACAAGGGGGAGCAGAAATTATTGTTTTGGTGGTGACAAAATTAAAGGGCAGTAGAAGATCATATTCAACAGTTAGGGGGTAATAGATGGATGGGAGAAATTTCGATGGAGGAATTAGGTGGTAAAGGGGGCATAATTATTATGTGGGATAAAAGGTCTTGGAAGGGGGAGATGGTGGAGAGTGGAAATCAGATGATCACTTGAAAGTTGAGTGGCATTAATGTAGATCTCACTTGGATTCTTACATTAGTATATGCTTCAAGTTATAGAATGAAAGGTATGAGTTATAGGAAGAGTTAGGTGCATTGCAGAGCTTTCGTGAAGGCTTTATTAAAAAAAAAAAAAAAAAAGAGTTTTGTGAAGGACCATTCCCTTCAGAAAAGACAAATTGTACTAGACTTTTAGGAGCAACGACAGACTTCTCTAGCTGTATCAATGAACTAGAGCTAGTAGGCCCCCCTTTATTTAGGCGATCTTACACTTGAAGAGAAGAGTCAAATCATAGAAATGCATCAAGGATTGAAAGATTCATGCATTCATTTCCTCGGGATGAATTGTTTAATCAAATAAGATAGAGTTCCTTGACTAGTTTGGGTTCTGACCAGAATCCGATTTTGTTGTCATGTGGGGATGAGGTCTTCAAGAGATCATATTTCAAGTTTGAAAAATGGTGACAGAATGTTGAGAGGTTCAAATCCAAAGTACCAAGACTGGTGGAATTTTTTAATGTGACAGGAAGAGCAGACTTTAAGTTAGCAACAAAATTGGAGGCTTTTGAAAGCAAACGCAAAGATTGGAGCAAGGAGAATAAAGATAACTAGAGGGCTAGAAATGATCAACTTCTGGAGCAAATTGGAACTTCGGAAATCATACAAGAGGCCAGATCTCTTGTTATGGTCCCCGATTATGGATCTGGTTATGGGGTGCTGCAATATTAAATATAATGTTTTCTTCCTACGACCTACGGTGTTGGTTCATTAAGAGAGAACCTGCGATCTCTTGAATTTGAAGTACTCAAAAACTTGAATAATTTTAGATACAATACTTATAAAATAACTACCCCTAAAAACTAGGACATGACTTCCTAACTTAACTGTAATTACAAGACTGCACTATTACAGGAAAATAACTGCATTATTTAAGGAAAATAACTAAAGAGAAAACAATGCAGTAAACTATTGGATAACTAAGGAGTGATAACACCTCTTACTGATGATGAGTTAATGATGAAAGCACAATGTGCCATGGAGTGTGAAGAAACAGCTAGAAATGAAGAAATCCATTGGATACAGAGACCTAGATTTCAGTGGATCAAAGAGGGTGACAAGAACACAAAGTAACAGAATGGCCGCTGCGTGTATGTAATGACCCTTCATGTAATTTTTGCCTTAATGCTTTCTTTATGTCGTTTAGAGCTTTTCTATAGACACCCCCAAGTCATTTATGACTTGTTGGCACTGACAGTTCGGTCGCCTAGTTGTTTGTTTGAATTTTGTGCAACTTTCCATGTTTTAGATGCCTTGAAGCTTGAAAAGTGAGTTTTAGTCAGTTCGTCAAGCAAATGACCTCAAAATGGAATTCTGAGAGTTTCATCAGCTCCGAAATCGCCAAATTAGGCTAGTATCCCGGTTTTCAAAAGTATCGAGGTACGAGTCAGGACAATCAGGCATTTTAGCCATTGAAATTTGGCATAAGGTTGACTTTGGTCAACAATCTTGGAAAATGCGCTCGGATAAAAATTTCGTCAGCACGATTAGCTTCGGAATGTTGAGTTTGGTCTAGAACGACCTTTTGTTCGACTCCCGAGGCCTCCGGACTCATTCGAGCCCCCCGGTGGATTTTGGTTAAAAATGGCCTTTGGAAGTGAGACCCATTTTTTATTGAGATGACCTCTAATGGAAATTTCAACTGCGTCTTTGAGTCTGGAATGTCGATTTTAGTAGGGTACAATATCTATTTTGTTTTTATCGGGTTCCGAACAAATTTGGAGCACCCCGTCGGAGACTTTGAAGAAATTAGCCAAAGCTGAAATCTTGTGCAGCTCTACAGCGACCAGGTTTTGGCTTTAACAACCAGTTTTTTGGTGCTTTTTAGTGACCAGGTTCGCCTTTTTAAAACCCCAAAATTCAGCCTTTATCCCTCATATTAAAGGCGTGATATCTTGAGCTATAGAGCTTCAATTTGGGGGATTCAAAGGCTAAGTTGTGAGATTTTTCAAGGATAAACACATTTGTGAGCTCGGAAGCTGCTTTGGGACCTTCAAATTAAATTTTCATTTTCACCAGCTGGTCATGGCTACTTTGTGAACTCAAATTGTGGGATATTTTGGGACTTGATTTCTCCCTCATTCTAAGTCCGAATTTGATTATTCTAGTGGGTATTTTGAGTGGTTTTTCGAGGAGAACGTTGTGGTGTTGTCGGAACTCACTGTAGACCACCTTTTCTGGTAAATTGACTGATTCAGCCTCTGTCCAATTTCTACTTCATGAGAAAATTCGGGTTTTGGTTGCATGTTGACATTGTGTTATTTCAAGGCCCCGAATTGTGTCCCATTTTGGAACACAAGTTCGGGGAAGTGTTTAAGAACCTATTTTGGGGGTTGATTCCGAAACATTCAAAGCGAGTCCTACTTTTCCCGTTTGACCCCAAAATTGGTCCATCCCTGTTTCTTGCGATATTAGTGTCTACGCGACGATAATAATGTTGTGACTCTATTTTTTATAGTGTTACAGCATTTCGAGGCCGTTCGAAACGGAAAAGCACCGGGGGAGTGATTTTTGGAGCGCGCGTGATGTGCCTACAGGCAGGCTACGTTTTCTATTAAATTGAACTTGAACATGTGAATGCATGTTGACTATTTGGGATTTGGGTTGGGTAGTTATTGAATCATGCACAGGTGTTTAGAAATCATGTTTTCGGCCTATTTCGGGAATTATCGGGTAGCTGTGAGCATGTTTTGTGTTATTAATTGACTCTCTTTGCTTTGTGGAGTACTTGTATGCTTGATTACTGTTTATTTGAAGTATGTTGGGCCTTAGTTTAGGTTTGACTAGGGCTTGCTTTAGAATACATGATCCGGAATCGGTAGGACTTAGTTTTGCCCCGACGACGCTAGACCGGCTTAAATCCTTGTAGACTGGTGTAGATGACCTGAGTCTGTTAGTTTGGGCCTTAGCTATGCGATGAGCTTGCTCCGGCGATAGTTATCCTTCTTCAATGTTACGGCTTCACGAGTTACGTCGGTGACGAGTTCCGCTCCACAATTCGAAGTTGATTTTTGATCGGTTCCAAGGACTTACATTGATATGCTAAGTGTGGATGGCGTTCCACGGGTATTTATGATTATGGATAGATAGACTCTTTCAATAGCTATATTGGCACCTTTGTCGGGAATCCGGATGCAAGGCCCAGCCTCGACTACATTGATAATTTTCGAGGAGCATCCAATTCAAGGTCCAGCCTTGATCATCTGCATACTTATGTAGAGAATCTGGTTCAAGGTCCGAGCACCAGTAGTCAGCGTTTATCGAGTTTGGAGCAGTCTGATCTAGAGACGGGGGGTGAGCACACAACGTTTTGTACTATTTCAGTCTCCATTTGTATATATATAGACTTCTCTTTTACCTTTCAGGATAATTCAATTTTTGTGGTCCACTTTTGGGAATCGTACTCGCTTTATTGGAGCTCTGTACTAGTGACTTCTAGGTTCTGGAAGGGATCTTTATTTGTATATATGTTTTAGTTTGCTTTCGCATATTTATATCGTTAAATTAAATTTTGTCTACACTTGTTTAGTTTCTACCCTAAGACCCATTAGATGTTCCGTGTTATGGGTTGGCTTACCTACTGGTGGAACATCATGACTCGAGAAGTTGGGTCGTGGCAATGTAAGAGAATCAACACTATAGATTCTTTGATGATCGATGGGATTATGCCTTCTGATTCTATGGAGTTAAGAGGTCCATTGTAGATTTCTATCAAAATCTTTACAAAGAATCTGAAAGTTGGCTCCAAATTTGAATGTTTTTTATGTCCAAACTATTACTATGGAGGAGCAACAATGGCTTACAAGAAGGTCTGAAGAGGAAGAGGAGTTAGAAGGGATCAAAATGTGTACAGCAGACAAGGCACCTGGCCCGAATGGTTACACAATGATTTATTTTTCGAACTTCTGGGAAACAATAAAGGGGGACATACTGCTGACCTTCCACAATTTCCACACTCATCAGAAATTTGAAAAATGTTTTTATGCTACATTTGTAGCTTTGATTACAAAAAAGGTGGGGGCAAACGATCTAATTATGGCATTATGCTACAGAAACCATATATAAGAAAGTAGTCACCGAAAAGATACACGGTGACCCAACTTTTGCTAACATAATTGTTGGCCAAACGGATTGTATATATGGGTAATAGTCATCCGCCAACAGCGGAAGCTCTTTGATTTTCTATGAAGATCGTAGAGGCTTTGATACTATGTGAAAAATATTAAAAAAGAATTTTATTCAATTGTGTTGTGTATCTACATTACTACTGATAGACCCTATTTTTAGACACTGCAATATAATCCTTTATCAAATAGCAACCTACAAACTATTTTTGTTCGTGTTACTATTCATATTCCTATTCTTATTACTTTTACTATTCATGTTCCTATTCTTATTCCAATTTCTATTCTAAGTAGGACTATATACCTATTCCAATTCTAAGTGTTATCACGCATAATGATGATGAGGAAATCACCAAATTAAAACATCACCTTTTCCGGCACTTTCAGACTAAGGATCTTGGTCGATTGAGGTAGTTCTTGGGCATCGAGGTTGCTCCACCCAAATAAGGATTTGTCATTTCAGAAAGGAAGTATGCACTTAATATTCTTGAATAGACAGGAATGACAAATGTAGGCCTATAGATTCTCTAATGGATTCAAATGTTAAGTGCCTACCAGGTTAGGGGGAGCCTCTTACCGATCCTAGAAGATGGAGGAGGTTGGTAGGAAAGTTGAATTTTCTCACACTGAATCAAACCGAAATTACTTTTCTAGTTAGTGTTGTAAGTCAGTTCTTCAATTCTCCTAGTGACAGTCATTCCAATGTCGTTATTCGCATTCATTGTACATAAAATTTGCTCTAGAGAAAAGACTACTCTATGAAAACGGAGAACTGAGAACATGAGAAGATCATTGGATATTCAGATGCAAACTTGGCACGGTCACACACTGACAGAAGATCCACTTCTGGATATTATTCTCTAGTTGGGGAAAATTTGGTGTTTTGGAAAGTAAGAAACAAAATGTGGTTGCTAGATCTAGTGCAGAAGCTGACTATTGAGCTATGGCAATGGCAACATGTGAACTCATATGGATCAAACAACTATTAAAGGAGTTGAAAGTTGGAGATACTGAAGGAATGGAACCTGCATGTGATAATGAATTTGCACTTCACATTGCATTTGATCAGATGTTTCATGAGATAACCAAACACATACAGATTGATTATCATTTTGTTAGAGAAAGAGTACTATGGGGAGACACCGTCAAAAGGTTCGTGGGGTCATGTGATAAGTTCGCAGACATATTTACGGAGTCCCTAACCGGTCCAAGAACAAGTTATATATGTAACAAGATTGGCACATATAATATGTATGCACCAGCTTGAGTGGGAGTATTAGAATCCTGGGAATATTCTATAGCATGTGTAACGATAGTAGGTAGCTTGATTTACTCTAGATTTAAGTAGGTATTCGTTTCCTTTCCTCTTTTTTCGGACAAGTAAATCTAGTTATTTAAACCCCAATAGCTTGTGGGAACAATCAAGCTTAATTTTCTCTAAAACTCTTTTTTTCTCACATAAACAATCGACAATAAAATATTTTAAGGTGTCCTTATTTAACAGGCTCCAGTTTCCAAGTCTCATAAGCTCAATTTATCATAATGTCCATGCAGAAAACAGAAACTATTTTGAACCCATGACTGCAATTGCACATGTATTCAGGCATGTCTGTTGTAACCTCAAGAAAGATATTATATAAAGATATGTTGGAGTTAGCTCACAGGTGTAGATCCCTCTATTGAAACCCTTGCCCTGGAAAACGACAAGTTTCCAGCTAAGAACGAACCCCCTCTTTCGAAAACTTTATGGAGATTATGCACTTCTGCTGGCCACTTATGTAATGAAGAATCTGTTGTGGCCACCCACATGCTATCACCATGTAATGCTAACTGCAAAATAGGGTGATCCTTTGTACAAAGCAAGACACTTTCCCTTGTTGCCAAATCTGTTAAGTACAACTGCAAGTACAAGCATTTTTTCGTCAAGAGGATGATTCAGTAAGCATAGAAGTCTAAGAAGTTGGGAAAAGAAATCAGCAAGAGAAAGCATGTTCGATAAGTTGTAAGAGTCCACTTACAGAGAGATCTCTTCCTCCACTATAAACATGACTAAATGTTGGAGTGCTAGCAAGTGCCCATACAGAGTCAGTATGCACAGCATACGAATGCACACACCTCTGCTGACCCAGATCCCATAATCTAATCATTAGAGGCAAAGTAAAGTTCAACGCTGATATAAAAAAAAATGTGCCAATAACACTTGCAAGATTTGGACAGCAATGAGTGACTGACTACTCCTAATAAATATGATTGAATATAATGAAGCCAGGCATTTTTTATTGCATGTTTCTCTTCAACTTGGCAATACTTAAAGATTCAACTACCCTCCACCCACCCCTAGTATGATACAAGCACTCCTTACCTAATCATGGAATCAGAGGAGCCAGACAAGCAGAACCTACAAAAATACAGGATAAGGACATCATTTAAAAGAACCCAAAAAATCACATTTACAAAATACAGCAAGAGTTAAAGCTCAATCTTCATAAGCAATAGTGAACTGTCAAAAACCAACAAGTGTGGGAACTCAAAACCAAGAAGAAACATCTAATAACCCACATGAGACAAATGACAATATTACTTTCTCGGGGCTTAGGTGAAAACAAAAAAACATTTGCTCTCTATCAAAAGACAATGATTAAAAAATGAGAACTATGCTTCTACTTTTGTTGGACAAACAGAAAACAGAAAACAGAAAAACAATTTGGCACATGCATCAAAATAAATCTCTCACTAGGCAACATAGTACATATACAATGTTTCCCAACTAAAACAAGAATAAAATACATCCAGAGCCAAACTGATTAATTGCTTGTCTTAATTGAACATAAAAAGGGCAAAAGAAACATATATTCTCTCCGTTTTAATGTAAGTGTCTTAGTTTGATTAGGAACGGAGTTTAAGGAAAAAAAGGAGAACTTTTTAATCTTGTTGTTTTGAATTAAAAATAAGTGTATTTGCCATAGTGCCTTTGAATCTTGTGGTCTTAACAAAACATGTAGAATTTACCCTCTGGGGTGGCCCAGTGGTTTGAGCTTGGGACTTCCATGTTGGAGATCTCAAGTTCGAAACCCCTTGCCAGCGAAAGCAAGGGGTTTGCCTTCTGGGTCGAGCTCGTCGCACCAGGCTTGCCTGGTGCGGGTTACCTCTCCTATGTGGTTTGCGAGCTATTGTCATAGGAGCGGGGTTTTACCCTGTGTGCACCCAAAAGGGTAGCGGCTGCGGGTTTCCCTTGTCGTAAAAAAAACATGTAGAATTTTGGAATTAGGGCCATAAAATATAGAAAGAGACAATATTTTTAAAGAGATTAAAAAGAAAAGTAAGACACTTCAATTGAAACACATGTGGTAGTAGTTACATAAATGTGGACTACAAGTGTAACGTCAAATTTTCTTTTTGCTCCACAACATCAAATTTTCTTTCTCATATAAAATGACCTAAATGGTCCTTAACATATAGGTATTCGTCCTTTATTTTGGTGCTTAATGTATTTCACTTGATCGAAATGGTCCATAATGTACAAGAAGGTGTTCATTTTAGTCCTTAATGTAATTCACTTGATTGAAATGGTCCTTAATGTAACAAAAGATGTTCAATTTGGTCCTTTACCCTAAATCTAACAAACTTATTTTTAAAAAAAGTATTAAATTTAACTAAGGACCCTATGTGGCTAACAAAAATCAACATTGTTGCCTTCTTTGTTATTTCTAAAGAAAAAGCTCCAAAAAACTAAACAACATTTTCTCTGTTTCTCCCACAAAATTTACTATTCTCCATTTTCTAAAATATTATTTCACTGAGCACCGATTCTATTTTTAGCAAGAGAATATATTATTTTTTTGTTGGAGAAATTAGAGATAATAGTGTTAGATTTCACGAAGTTCTCTTTGGAGCTAACAAAGAAGACAGCAATGATGGATTTTATCAGACACATAAGGTCCATACTAAACTCTATTTTTATTATTTTTTGATAAATATGTTAGATTTATAGGGTAAAAGACCAAAATGAACACATTTTGTTATACATTAAGGATCATTTCAATTAAGTGAAATACATTAAGGATAAAAATGAACACCTTTCTCATACATTAAGGACCATATCAATCAAGTGACATTCATTGAGGACCAAAATAAAGCATTACCCAAACATTAAAGACCATTTTGGTCATTTTGTCCCATGCATTTCCTAATGTCAGCACCGAGACATACTTCATCCATCCCCACCATAAACATCTAGCAATCATATTTGTCAATGTTTCCATTTCGCACAAGGGTCGCCTCGCTTTGAAGCGTGCTTTTCACAACACTGGACGCAAAAGATCCGGCTCCCATCCCTATCTATATATGTGTGTGTGCGCGCGCGCGAGAGTGTGTGTGTTGTGTTCTTTAAGACAAAAGCTATGGGTGAAGGCGCACATGCCTTAGCACATTGACGCCTACACTAAAGAGCCAACTGAGCATAAAATCAAGACACACGCTATCTGAGCTTCAGCGACCTTCAAGGCTTAAGTGTGCTTTAAGCATGCCCTAAAAACACTATCTGCCACCCCCGTAAGCTAGAGGAAATGAACAAACATTTGTTCCTCTTTATATTGCTGGAGTGTCAAGTAACATGCATCAACGATACTTGGCTAAACCTATGTATCCAAATCCGTCTTCCACCATTCTTATCGGAGTATATATCAACTATGCATCATAGTTGAAGCCAAATGCTTCTAGCTGAATAACAATTGCAATCCGAGCCAAAAATATCTTTAAGGCATCATTTTTCCCAGCATACCTGCCAGTAGAATCAAGAAGTAGCGCCCTAATATTATCTGTATGACCTTTTAGCTTCATGGTCTTCGAACCAGTTCTTGGATCCCACACTCGCACAACCTTAAAGAAACTCAGAAAGTAGTTATTGCTACAACTCCTTTGGTAATATAAGAACAGTACATTTTGAAAGATAAAAAACTAACCTAATACCTTCTCAGTTCCACCAGAAACAAGAAGGGATCCACTGTCATTCATTGCCAATGCATATACTGACTCCTTATGGCCTTTCGCAGACACAGGAATATATCCTTGGGACTTGGTGTGCAAGGAAATGGTGTTGCTCGAACTATTAGGGTGGACGCTTGTAATGGATACTGAACTTCCTGCACCACTGACACCATTTGAACAGTTTTCCGCAGTTGCATCACTTGACTTAGATGTTGGGGAAAGTGCACCTTCAAGGTCCCATATGTAAACCTCACCACCAAGGCCAGCAGATGCAACAACATTGCTCTGTCATTAATGATAATGAAATGGATCAGAAAGTAGACTTAATTAAATCCACATTCAGCCTGAATATTCAAGTACCAGCTTCAATTGAAGTTAATGATTCACTACAGTATTTATGATGCCAACAAAGTCTTGCAGAAGAATTTTACATTTTTTTCTGCTGAAGCAAGGCAAGTGACATAATCAGAGTGTTGACCAAGAGTCCTGGTACAAGATCCCTCAGATAAGCCATTCCATACCTGATAATCCAACAGAAATTTCCCAACATCAAAAGGAAAAAATTTCAGAAAACAAGTTGCGTAATGAGAAGTAATAGAAATGTGTGTAAGAAATTGTGAGCAGATAGGAATACCAAATTTAGAGGCGAACATAAATACCTTGACAGTGGTGTCTGAGGAGCAGGAAACCAATGTGTTATTGCCTGTAAGAACAGTGTCATTTACCTGCACAACACGAATCACAACACAACTTCTAAGTTATACATTAGAAACATAACAAACAAAATATGAAAACAGCCAGTTACACAACAAAAGATATAGCACATGGATGACAGGTCAAAAGCACATCCAGGCATATCCTAGAGAGCAAGAAGTTTTCATCAAACAAACTAAATTTCATTCTAAGAAGGGCCACTTCATGAAGTATCTGAAAATAGAATTTGGTGGCCTTCATTTGAGAAATAGGACAAACAAAAAGAAAAAAGAAACCATCTGGTACAGCCGGATCAAAGTCAACTGATTCTTATGTACCATATGGTGGATATGACTTTATCTAGTAGATGCCCTTAAACTGATGCTAGTGCAGTGGGATTCAAAAGGCTACGACAATACAAGACCTAGCGAGGAAAAAGAGAATTTGAACAGTACCCAATCAATATGGGATTCAAATGTAGCACAGCAGGTGGCACCATCTTCAGCCAATGCCCATCTCTTTAAAGTCCCATCTCTACTCCCGGTAAATAGGTACTCAGACCCACCAGGTGAGGACGACTTCAACAAAGCCAAGCAATTTACACCAGCACAATGCTGAGACAGAAATAAAAAGAAAGAACAGTAAGCAATCACTCAAAAGAGTATTAAAAATGAACGACCTAAAAGAACTTGTTCATGATTCACAATTACCAGAGATAACAGCTAGAAAGACGCAAAATTCATATAGTTTGCCAGATATGCTAGAAAAACGCAAAATTCATCTAATTTGCCAGATATAACCATAAAGGATGAACTAGCCAGAATTTCTCAAGGAAATGTGAACAATCTTCAAGAAAACAGGTTGACAAAACAGCATATATTTCAGAGACGCTACATCTTTGGTAAAGTTCAAAGTACCTCTTCATAAACAGAAACTTCAAATGTGAAATATCACTAAATAATATTTGGTTCATTTTGTTCAAGAATCTTCATCCCCTCACGCAATGATATTTTAGTACAACAAAAGACGAGATAGACCGAAGAGACAAGGGAGATAAAACAAATGACTACAGTAATTTTCAAGTAGATGCAAGAATAAAAAGGGGAAAGTAAGTCTTTATCCAAGTCACCATAATGATACAAGTTCTATGGAGAAAGCTAAAACTTCACAAATTTGAAGAAAAAAAAAGAGTATTTCTAAGGAGTCCACTCCTTGAATTGTTTCAAGTTTCAACAAGGGCTGCCATTACTCTACCAATATGACTCCTTATCAGGTTGTGCATGGAAGGGAACCGTCATCATTGCATCCACTTATAACTTGCTGATCTTGAAGGCAAATCATGGATGTGGTTTTGGTAGCTAATGAAGCAGACAGAAGCAACGAAAAATGGGAATTTCTTCGCAAACTTGACATAGAGAAGCCTGTGACCATGTCAATTGGTCCTACCTATTGGGAGTGCTAAATAGGATGGGGTTTGGACAAAGGTGGATAAAGTGGGTAAACTTTTGCATATCTACTGTGAGTTTTGGAATTATCATCAATGGCTCACCCACAAGTTCTTCAAGGCACAAAAGGGTCTAAACAAGTCAAGATGACCCTTTGTCATCATTCTTGTTTTTATTAGCGATGGAAGGTCTCAACAGCATGGTAAAAACAGCAAATATGAATGGGTGGTTGGGTGGTTTCAATGTAACAAAAGAAGGAAGGGATAATCCGGAGGAGATTTATTTGCAGTATGCAGATGATAGCCTCATTTTTTGTGATGTAGATGAAGAACAAACAAAATTTCGAGGATGATATTGGCTCTGATTGAAGGGATGTCAGGATTGCACATCAATTGAGGAAAGCGGTTTCATTATTCGATCAATGAGGTCACAACCATGCATTCCCTAAATGCATTTCTTGGAGGAGAGGATTGGTAGTCTGTCAACAAGGTACTTGGGTCTGCCTTTAGGAGCAAACTCAAAGTCTAACGATATCTCGAACAATGTGGTTGAAAAATGTGAGAAGAAATTGGCAAGGTGGAAAAGACAGTACTTATCAGTAGGAGGTAGATAAACCCTCATCACCTACGTGTTAGATTCCTTGCCAACTTATATGATGTCCTTGTTCCCTATACCAACAAAAATCATTAGTAGGCTAGACAGAATCAGGAAGAAGTTTTTTTGGCAAAGAAATAAAGACAGGAAAAGCTACCACTTGGTCAAATGGGAATCTCTTATAATTGATAATTTTGGAGGTTTGAGGATAAAGAATCTGGATACTCATCGTAAGGCGCTCAGAATGAAATGGCTATGGAAGTATGCGATGATAAAGAGACACTATAGGGAAGAGTCATAGAAGCTAAGTATGAGGAAGAAGACATATGGATGACTAAGGAAATTACAACTCCTTATGGAGATAACTTATGGAGATCCATGCTTCTTCAAGATCAAGGTATACAATGGGGCTAAAACTAGGTTCTGGAAAAATGAATGACATGAAGAAGGCAATTTAGAAAGGTTATTTCCAAATATCTACTCAATAGTACTACACCAACAGAATACCATGGCAGAATTATAGACAACAAAGGGATGGAGATTCAACTTCAGAAGGCAATTCAATGATTGGGAAATATCAAGAATGGCAGATTTCATCAACAAGATTGAGCAATTCAGTGGGTTGGGAACAGATGAAGATGAACTATGGTAGAAGGGAGATCAGAAAGGCACATACAAAGTGCGCAAAGCGTACAGGAAAATGAACCACAATCAACAACCAAACAGTTGGCATGGAAGAACATTTGGAAACCAAATACCATAGAAAGTGGCATGTTTATTGTGGCCTTTGGCAAAGGAGGCAATGCTTACCCAAGAGAACCTAATGAAAACACGGATGATTTTAAGCCCCAGGTGCTTCTTGTGTGGGGAGTAGGCAAAATCTGTGAATCATGTATTCCTACATTGTAGAATCACAGGAAAACTATGAAGATTGTTTTTGAACCTCAGAGGAATAGCATGGAGGATGCCTGGGACAATTACAAAGGCCTTAACAAGTTGGGAACAAGCTGGGTTGTTGGCCAAGAATATAGGCAGGTGGAGGATAGTCCCAACAAGCATTTGATGTACAATATGGAAGGAGAGGAATTCTAGGTGTTTCGAGAGCATAGAGAACAGTATGCAACAGATTAAGCTTAATTGCATCTTGCTACTGTTGTTTTTGGTGTAATCAGTTACTTTTAAATGATCCGGTCTCTACCATTGATTTTTTAGACTCATTATAGACATAGGATCATAGAATCATAGATGTAGGTAGTACTTTGTAAATATGGGGCTGCTACAACTCTTGTAAGATTCGGATTCTAACATATATAGAAAAAGTTACCAGTCTCAAAAAAGCAACTCTTGGCCAGTGACCAAATGTTAAAGTTATTGCATTCCAACCTTCTGAAGGCTCAATCCCGCATGAAATCTCAAGCTTTCCAAGTGTCTTGACTTGCCTTTTAGTGTGGGTGATGTTGTTCTACTTTGTATACAACCTGAAATTAGAAGAATCAAGCCTAACAGCCGAATGAGAAGCTTTCTCCTTGATATATTGGTCCGTCTGAATTGTTTGCAAAGTAGGTCATCCAGCCTATGGACTGCAGCTACCTCCATCAGTAAAGTACATCCAATTTTCCAAGTCTCATTGCTTCGCCATGCTCATGGTCATTTGATATTCCATTCCTCAACCTTTACTTCTTTCTGCTGATTTGAAATTTACAGTGGAGACTAAAAAAATTGTTGCACCTTTGGATGAAAGAATCTGGGATTCCAACTCTAGAATTACTCTTTCAATGGCATCATCATACTGCTGAAGAAGCTAGAGGGTGAAGACTGTGAAATACTTGCTGAACAGTTTCTTCCTTCCACTTTGAGGACAAGGCATCTTTTTAGGAAGAGTGATATACTTTAGAAGGAAGCATGAGAGCGGAGATTAAAAATTGGGCAGCTTGACTAAGTCAACTTCTTCATGTGAGATGGAACTTTATTATATGATCTTTTATTGACTACAAAAAGTTAATTTTTCCTTTTTCTCAACCAAGCAGCCAAATCAAGAAGGATCACTTAGTCACATAAAGGCACTGAGTGCTGATCACAACTCAATCCCAAAACAGGTCATGAGACTTGTCCTCTAATGACAGACTCACTTTCAACTAGTTAATATCATCCAACTCTACCACAATGCCAAATACGCATGAACTAAAGATTCATCCTTATACTTTCTACAATAAGCCATATATAAAGTTCAGGGGGGAAAACCTCTTTAGATGACCTAAATAGCAAACCAGTAACTAAGACATAAAGACTTGAACCCAAAGGATGCATATAACCTAAGGCAAACTTGAACATTTTTCAAAAAGTTAAGCCATTATTTTACATTGATTCTATTTTGCTCTTCTTTTTCTTCCTCGAGAGATTGTCCGTCATTCCAACTGAACATAGATAAAACACACAAAGAGATAGAGAAGAAAGAAAAAGTGTGTGTATGTTTGTTTTGTGTTCTGGCAATGAAGTTCCATACCTATAGGTTCCTAGAGGCATGATGCACATTTAATTTTTTTTCACATGAACGATGTTAGACGCTATAAGTAGCACAAGAAAGTTTCTCCAAAGGTTTTGATTCTAGGACAAAGATAGCAAAACGCAGAATGTGTGCGCATATTATGAGTTCAAATCCTAGCTAGGGAACCAAGACTAGTATTCAAATAGAAGAGTAGAGGAGCAAACCCAAACCCCCAAGTGCAAGAAGGAGAAAACAATGAAGAGAGCATAGTAGTTAATAAGAAAGTTGTGTCAAGTCTTCAAGAAAGAAGCAGTAACCGCAACAAAACAATGTGATAATTGAAACACAACAAACAACATATGGTTAGAACTACAAGGATATGACTAGTGAGATTTCACTGGGTATGTTGTTGTTTTAGAGGAGCAACCCACAACTCTATTCCACACTAAGCGCACGTCCTGATATATGAAAGTTGTTAAGAATGTAAAACCTCAAATAAGATACTTCGCCTCGTAGTATCACAACTCATTTAGTGTTTTCAAATGCGTGCTTTAAGCGCACTTAAGCCCTGAAGCGAGGCTCAAAATGTGTTGAGCGCTTCACCTCGCTTTATGTGCATTTTACTGTCATCATTAAGGTTTAAAGCAAACTTTTCCTTGCCAATGAGCCTCTTCTGAAGAAATGACACTAAAAATTGATATTTTTACTTCAATTTTTATTTCTTTTGATAACCGAAAAATTCGTCCAATCAAAGCCTTCTAAACTCGATGGATAATGGGCCCGCCCCTCTACCCTTCTCCACTTAAATACCGGATTACACTTTGCATGGTGTGGGGCTTGAACCTGCGACCTAAGCCACAAATCCTCACCTCTTGCCACTCAAGCTAGGCTTTGGGGGCAATTTGATATTTCACTTTATCCTAATGTTTTTTCAACTTTTTGGTCATGTATTTGCCATACAATGTTTATAATTGTCTTGGACTAAACATATATATTTGTATTTTTTGTCCCTTTGTGCTTTTTACAATTAAAGTCTCCACTTTATTTGTACTTAAAGCCCCAACAGACCTTAGAGATTTTTGTGCTTTTCGCCTTTGATAATATTGGGTCCATCAAATTGAAACAATAAATATCCACAAATTCCAAAAAGAAACTTAAAAGAGATCATCTGGATAACTTTTTGCAAAAAAAAAGGCACCCAACTTAAATGAGAAAGACAATTGATGATCACATGGGTGATGCTCCAAAAGGCAAAAACAAAAGGCAAGCAAATTAAGGGAAGTATTGACTATTCTACTAACTTCCACTCTGATGAGTTCAGCTACTACTGCAGAGGCATGCTGCTTGAATCTCCAAGAAATGTTGTGATGACAGTATTTTTGAAGAGTAAGAGCACCCAGCAACCAAGAAAGAGAAAACAGATAATAACACAACAGAAGGTGATATAGTAAGACAAGAATGACCTTAGTGTCATGAGCGTCATTTAAGACATAGGTCAACCTCTTCTCTTTCCGAGCCCGCACAGAAGTGGATGTGTTGCCTGCACTAGCTACACGGTGCATTGCAGATATCCCTAAAGAACAAAAGAAGAGAAAAAATGGACAACATCAATAATTTTAATTAAGTTTGTAGCTGAATATATTTCTTAATCAATTAACGTCATAGGATCATCTCAAAGAATTGTGTTCATAATTTGGCCAACATCAATAGATAATAGGATCAATAAGGAGAACGTCTCTATTTAGGTACAAAAAAATAATGGATTGTTGATAAAAGAAGAAGTGAATTGAAGAGCCGGCGATCAACCTACGTCATCAAAAGTACACAGAGCACCGGATTTCAGTCAGCGGAAATCCTCCACTTTCTAAAATTCCATTTATCTTCACCGTTGAGACAGTTGGAAATGAAAGCAGATTAAAGTATTCTGTGTGTGAGAGAGGGGAGGGGTGGTCTTCTTCTTTAGGGCTTCATAGTTTTGGCATTGAAATGATTATCTTTTGGATTTTATTTTATTTTTAAACCATACTTATTTATTTTTTCCATCATTTCAAAAAAGGCAAAATGGTCTGGTATACTTGTTTCAATTTGTATTGTGAACATTTCTACTTAACTATTTGTCATTTGATTCCTTAAGCTTATTTAAAAGGGAAAAGTGTCTCATATACTCCTTAACTTTATCATTTGGAGCTGATATATCTTCGTTATAAAAGTGGCTCATATATATCCATACTTGTAAACAAATGGCTCAAATATACCCTTTTCCTCTAACGGAAATGAAAAAATAATAATTTTAATCTAAATTTTTATTATTTTTTTCTAAAAAATATAATACCATATGAGTAAATTTAATCCTCGTCAAACATATTTTTTTTACTTTTTTTTGCAATGACTAATTTATAATTATCATTTTGATAATCAAATTTATTTATGATTTACTAATATTCTTGTAAAACTTATTGTAGACGATCAAATTTTTTCTTCGAATACAAAATTAAATTACAATACACACAAAAAAATAGTTTAAATTTTTTTTTTCTTTAAACTAATGAATGAAAGAAAAAAACAAAATAAGAATAAGAAACTCAAATAATTATAATAAAAGAAGTCAAAAAATAATTTATGTATGAAAAAAATTAAAATATACCTTGAACTTTGATAGAAGAATCATATATACCCCTAAATAATTTTTAAAAAAATATTAGAAGTAACAAATATAAATTTAAAACTAATTTTTTAACTTCCGTTAAATGAAGGGTATATATGAGTCATTTTGTAACGGCAGGGGTATATGTGAGCCGTTTGTATAACGGTAAGGGCATATATGAGCCACTTTTATAACGAGAGGTATATCAGCTCCAAATGACAAAGTTGAGGGGTATATCAGACCCTTTTCCCTATTTAAAATAAGATTTTTAAACTCCCTGACCATTGACAGAACTTATGTGACATATCTTTTGCTGAGTAGGTTATGGTGCGTGTTGTCACACTTGTAAAAGCAAGTGGAAGCAATAAAAAAATTTTAAAAAAATATTAAATAATAAAAAAACACGTTTCCAACCCCACCCTTTTCTTGAAGGAAAAAAAATGTCCCCAGCACCCACCCTTTTCTTGAAGGCAAAAAATTAGATGCAAATTTTTAGATGTATCGTCATAAACCTTATCTTCTTGCAAAAAGATCAAATTTAGGAATCTTGACTCTTGAGGATTTTGATTTTTCAAATATAATCATTTGTTAGGGGATGGGTATTGAAGTTGTTTTTTAATTTCCCTGCAAATTGATTTATGGATGAATTTTACAATCATTTTTTGCGGATCTTACTGTGGTTGTTAGATTTTGCTTAGTTTCGCTTCAAGTTACATAAACTTGCTTGATTTCTCATGATCGCAATCATCTTTTACAGATTTGACAATGTGTTGAGATTTGTTTTTCATTATGTGTTCTTTTCTTTTTCTTCTATGAAGACAACAAAAAATGCTCTAAATCATTTCATAAAGTTGTTATATTTCTGTTTAATTTCATTGAATAAAGTGATGCTCCTTTTTCTGTGAAAAAAATGAAGAAAAAAAAATAAGGGATATGGAGATGATTTTGACGCTGATTGTGGGTTAGGGAAGGTAGAGAAAGGTGAGAGAAAAATAATTTTATTTTAATTGGTAAAATAGAAATTTATTGATTTTGTCTTTTGTTCAACATTTTTATTAATAATTAAAAACTAGTTATGAAAAATGATGACATGGCATTAATATATATGACATGGATATGATATGTCATCTTTGTAAGGGAGAGTGAGCTACACACATGGTTAGAAGGATTTAAAAGTTTCATTTTAGTTGAGTTTAAGGGTTCAGATGACAAAAATATAAGTATAAGGGTTTACAATTGATATACCGTGGTTTCACGGTATAATTAATACTTTTTCCTTAAGTTTAATGTGTCTGAAAGCCCTTTTTATGCTAATTTTGATATAAGTTTCTCTTTGTTTTATAGGAAATCTGTCCAGAGCTGAAATCAGAGATTTTGAGCGAAAAAATGCAGAAGAGACCACCTACGGAGCTTAGGACGGTCCGTCGTGGCAGCGTAGTGCAGCTGCTGAAGGAAGATGGGGAAGTCTGACCAAGTGTGGCATTACGAAGCTTGTGACGGTCCGTCATGGCTATGACAGTCCGTCCTGTAGGTTCGTCGTGAAGATCAGAGAAGTGATCCCAGTACCCAGATTCCAAGAGTTGAAGTATTTTGAAACGAAGACCCTCGACGGACCGTTGTGCCTATGACGGTCCGTCACACTTACCGTCGAGGGGAATAAAGAAAGCAGCAGAATAAATTGCACCAAGTATGGGACGACGGAGTCCACGACGGTCCGTTGTGACCACGACGGACCGTCGTGTGGTCCGTCGACCCAGCCGCGTTTTGGCAGATTTCCAATAATTAGAATCCTTGTTTAATTAGGTTTTTATTTTTAATAAATAGTTCGAAAAACCTCGTTTTTGAGGTTAGACTCTGCTAGATTAGACATCATATTATTAGACTTTGTGTATTAGTGTTTGATTTTTGGAGATACTTACAAGTGATTTTTGGTGATTAATCAAGCAAAATTTCGGACGTTATTCTTTCTCATTGAAGTAAGTACATGAATTCTTATTTAACATATTTGAATGTTGTGTTTATGGCTATGAGTAACTAAACTCCATAACTAGGGTTGTGGGAACCATAGGCAAATAATGAGATAAACCCTAACTAAAATAACAATTCTAGATTAGTGTCTTGCATGTATTAATAATTCTTTCGCTTAGAAGTCTTTTTAACGGATGATCAACGTTAGAACTCGCCTTAATGCTACCTGCCGGACCAAGGAGGTAGATAATAGGAAAAGAATTATTAACATAAATTTAGTGTATACTATATAATAGGCTAGTATTGATTGGTACGAGGTAATAACTTAGTCAAATATCGAATACGATGCTTAATATGAGGTAAAGATAAGGGTTAGGAAAGCAACACACGTAGACGGACCAAGGTGCGGAGTGAGATTTTCTAGATGCCGGACCAAGGTTTTAGAAATACATAACTTATCACTTTGCATGCAAGATACTAGGAAAGAATTGTTATAGTTAGAATTATCAAGTTATGAACCTGTGGGGAACACGTAAACCCTAGTTACTTTGATTAATTGATTAAAACCCAAAATTAAAAGTTGTTAAGTGTCTCTTTCAAGTTCGTTGTTTATTTTCACTTATTTAGAGATAGAACCCCCTTTTTATGCTTTTACTTTCTAAGGAAGTCATCAACCGAACAATAGTAATAACAAGTTGAAGTTAAGTCTAGACTATTTTCCTCGTGGGAACGATCCCAACCTCACTAGTTGGGTTATTTACTTGACGCGACCGCTTTACTTCTCATTTGAGAAGTAAGTTTGAGCGTATCAAATTTTGGCGCCGCTGCCGGAGAATAAAGCTTTTAGATTAACTTGAACTTATTACTAAAGTTTAGTTGATATTTTCTTGATTTTACTTTGTTTTATTGTTTTTGATTTCTTTTCAGAACTATCCTCCTTGTATGCCAAATACACGGAGAGAAAGAGAACCCTTGTTTCCCTACGATCACGAGCTAGAGCGTACACTGCGCAATATGAATCAAAACTTGGGAATAAATGATGAGGATCCAAACCAGAACATCCCAGATCCAGTGGATATTCATGGTCAGATGTTACCCGACACTCCGGGTGAACATCAACAGAGGGGACAAAATCTCGTTCCACGGCCCCAAGCATACTACAGAGGGTATGATAACATAACAGACTCGGATGGACCACTTGTCTTGCCCCCTCTACCCACAAGCCACACTTTTGTGGTAATTAGTAGCTTGATGCAAATGCTCACTGCCAGAGGTTTGTTTTCAGGGCTACCTTCTGAGGATCCACATGCCCATATAGCTAAGGTAAGGGCAGTGTGTAAAAGTTGTGTGGGGAGGCCTGATTTGGATCTAGATGTAATAGGTCTCAGCGTGTTTCCTCTCTCACTGACGAGAGAAGCTGCTATGTGGTTTACTGAGCTCCCATACAACTCCATTTTCACTTGGAACCAACTACGGGATGTCTTCTTAGCACGTTACTATCCGGTCTCCAAGAAATTAAACCACAAAGACAGGGTGAATAACTTTGTGGCACTACCAGGTGAGTCAGTTAGTAGTTCTTGGGATAGATTCACCTCATTCTTGAGAATTGTCCCAAATCACCGTATTGATGATGAGTCACTGAAGGAATACTTCTATCGGGGACAGGATGATAACAATAAAGCGGTGTTGGACACTATAGCAGGTGGATCTTATGGAGAACGATTGCTGAGAAATTAGAGAAAATATGTCGTAACAACAAAGCTTAGAGTACTAGGAAGTCCGATACAGAGAGAAACACCTTCGCAGTGCAGTCCACACACAACCCAGCCACAGATGATATTCGTGAAGAAATGGCTCAGATGAGAACTGAGCTTGGGTTGGTACTAAAACATGTCACTGGGGTGCAGAAAAGATTAATGCAGTCAACAACTTGGC